ACAAGTCAAAGCCATCTGCGTTGACGAAGCCGGTGAAGCATCGTATCTATTCGGATTCATTGGCGTTGTACTTTTCAAAGTATGGAAGGTGTTCGCCAACAATGAGGCAGATGTCGTCAAGGAGCCTGGCAAAGGAGGCGGACTCTACTGTCCCTACATCTGGATCAACGGAATGTACACATGTGTTCGGTAGAAGGTCATGTAATCGCAGTTGAGGCCGAGGGCGATGCAACGGAAAATTGTATCGCTGACAAATCCGATGTCCTTCATGTGGCTGACACCTTTGAATTGCTCTGCTTTGATACCGAGTATATTGCAGGCAGTCCAGATCCGGTACATGAAGTATAGCCCTCTGAGCTTCAGGAACCAGAAGAACATTTCTTCGCCCCTGTGGTTCGCGCGTGCTCTTGAACCTCAAATCTTTGAACTTCTGAGCGGCAGTGACCTCTTCGTAGGTTGGCGGGATTGGAATGTTCGTCTCATCGACATCTTTGAAGATCCAATCATCCCTCGGGCTCAAGTTTTTGAAACTTGAGCTTGTTGCAATCATTTGCATTCAAGGAGTAAAAGAGGTCGACGCTCCTCTTATCCAGTGGTGCTACACTCGCAACATACATCTGCCTTCGCGATTTATCGAGAAGATCAATCGGACCGAGGAGACACCAGATTCTGTGTTAGAAAGGTTCCGGCGGAGAGCGAGTAGAAGGGCCATCGCAGAAGGATCACACTGGTGATCATGCATTTTCTTCACGATTTCTCCTACGTGGGGGATCAACTGGAATTTGCAGTTATAGACAATGGGATCCTGATGCTCATTGTGAGTGGTATCATGGCCAGCCCTTGTGGTACTCGTCGTGCGTGGTACACTGGGCAAACCGAAAGTATTTGCACGAGACTTGCATTTGTCACCATGGAATGTTTTCTTGTTTCCGTACAGTATCGTCATCGGCGACTGCTATTCTGGGGATGCCGGGTATTTGGTGGTCAACGATTATTCGGTGCTACAATCATTATTAGTTACAGATTGGTGATGCACTATGTGCTCGTCATGGATATTCGTTTTCTGCAGACAGCCATGGATCTGTACAATTACCTTATGGATAGCTTGCTGCATGTGCGATACTGCGCATGAGGTCCGGTAAGAGACCTGTAGCATTCTTGTTTCCTGTTTAGTTTAGTTTCAGCACCTGGTCAAACTCGTGCAGAGACGTTTGAATTGAAAATGAGTGAAGCCATGCGTCCATGTGTGTCGGCGTGCGGTTGAGATTGATTCCCGACCCAGGGATGAACCCAAGCCCGGGATGGGGATGCTAAGAATCTCCGAGCCGCAAGGCTAAAACATCCTAGGGGCAGGTTCTGAGGGTCACCCTGTTACTTCCCCTTGTTTAAGGTCTCAAACCTTTTAGGGAGAATGTGTGTTTTGTGCGCAGCCGACATGTACATGCGAATGCATTTGGCTCAAGTCCACTAGCTCAAGTGAGTTAACTGGCATAAGACCTTGATAATAGAATCGATGCGAACATCCAAACACTGCTGTGAAAGAAAGCAAAAGGGCGCGTATTCCGCTGTCGCATTGAGTTGTGAGACGACGCAGATCATTTACCTTACAACCCCCTTTTACCACGACCACTAGTATACGACTTGCTGTCGAGGGTATTGGTCACCCCACGGGAGTCGAACCTCAACTGCCCTGTTATATTAACTACGTGGTTGATCTGCCTCCTGGCACCATCTTCGCTGGGTACCGCCGTCAAACACAGGGCGGCGAGAATGTCGATCAAGACGGCCACCAACCCCAGCGCACCACAAGGCGGCGCGGCGAAGGTCAAGAGGCCCAAACAAAAACAACCACCCTCCACACCACAAGGCGGCACGGCGAAGGCCAAGAGGCCAAGACAGAAACAACCGCCAAGGCGGCGCGGCAAAGGCCAAGAGGCCAAAACAGAAAGGAGCAACCCGGCTCCGTTGGTTAGACGGAACACCTTACTATTCTCGTCTGTCTCCCAACCTATCTTACTATCTCGATCTGGAAACATCTTACTATCTTACTATCTCGCTCTCCCATATCTACGTTGCAATATCTCTTTCAATCTGTAGCCCAGCTCTCTCTTGCTCTCTCTTTCCTTCTTTCCCTTGCTTTCGCAAACGAGGACGTTAACCGCTGAAGGCCACTTGCGTCCACTTGGCCCACTTGACCGCTTGGTTCCCTTGTTAGCAGAGCACGTAGCCCGAGTGGCCAAGCGGCGCAAGGGTTGGCGATGTCTGT